TGAAAGGCAGAATTAATATCCTCAGGAGAATAAAAAAATACAAGGAAGAAATCATTTCCTAGGGAAAATCTATGATCATGGTAATACCAGAGCCCTCAGCTTCCCCCATCGATGACATCCTCACTCTCAAAAGGCACAAAGATCTCAGCACATTCCTCTAAGTTATATTAGAGTTTTGCTGAATCTTTGTTTTTAGACTGTTGGGATGGGTTTGCTGCAATCTACAGAGCAGCTTGAAGTCATTTTTCTATCAGAGCAATGCCAGGACCATGATTGAGCCCTTACCTACATATCACACAGTATCACAGTATTACAGTATGTTAGGGATTGGAAGGGACCTCAAAAGATCATCTAGTCCAATCTCCCTGCCAGAGCAGGAACACCTAGATAAGGTTACACAGGAACGTGTCCAGGCGGGTTTTGAATGTCTCCAGAGAAGGAAACTCCACAACCTCCCTGGGCAGCCTGTTCCAGTGTTCTGTCACCCTCACTGAGAAGAAATTTCTTCTCAAGTGTAAGTGGAACCTCTTGTGTTCCAGTTTGTACCCATTGCCCCTTGTCCTATCATTGTTTGCCACTGAGAAGAGCCTGTCAAGGACAAATTGTCCTTTATTGAATGCTAACCAGGAATGCTATTTACAAAGGAATTGTGAGGATGTGGAATTATAACTCAGAAGCAAATTGCTGAGATGAAGTGGGAGAAGGGCAAAATAACCATGCTTGGAAACAAGTCAGCTACCCTAAGTAGAGCTCTTCTTTCTATCCTCTTCCTAGCCCTGACTTTATAGAGTATTTTTATTTAGTAGAAATGTATTGAAAAGCACATTTATTCTGCAAGTTCTTGTTATACTTCTCAGCTATGCAGCTCTGGAAAGGTAATTGTCTACTGCCTTTATGACCATGTTTTCCTGACCTGTGTATCCCCAAGTTCAGAGCAACAGTAACACTTGAGATGCACGCATTGAGGAGGACGCATGCTTGTTTCACAGATGCCACCTTGTTCATTCTCAGTGGTTCAGATTCTAGATCTCTTATGTAAAACAGTTTCCTTTTGGAAAAGAAAAACCTTTTCTGAAGAACGGAGTTTGTGCAGATTATTTAAACCACAAGATAAACAAATGGCCTAAGCCTATTCCAGAACTGTATTTTTTGCTAGAAAGCTTTTAAACAATCCTAATCTCTTCGAAAATATCACTAAGCCGAAGACTTGGAAGTCTGCACATGACAAAGTATTTTAACTAGTAGCATGTGGATTATAGTTTATAAATTCATGTAATAACCATCAGTTATGAAAACTATCTTCCAAATTCATTTTAACTGCCATATTTAATGGAATATATCTCATATAAAGGATACACCTTTTATATCTCATATAAGCAATGAAGGAAAAGATGAGGTGTGTTCTATAACAGACTTATCATAAAAGTAGAAACAGTAACTTTAAGATCACTTTCTTGAAGACAGAAAAGGGTTTGGGAGGGAAATGGACTAAAACAAGTATCTGTGAAGCAGATGGGCACATTTCCATGAAAAGAAATCATACGGCACTAGGAAGGCCTGTTTCAAAGTCATTACTACAGAAGGTATCAAACCTGCAGGTATTCCATTTTGCAGCATCCCTGAAAGAAGGCTGCACTGCAAACTTGATTCTGCAATTTTTTTCCTTACACCTTGGACACAGATATATAAAAGGTATTGGAGCCAGTTCTGCCTTGTCAACGCTTCCTTCGAATTCTACACCAGCAACAATTCCACAGTTCACCATGAGACCAGAATTTGACTGCATCCTTCAATGCTCAAGTATGATTAATAGTTGGGTTTCATCTTCATACCCTTCAACCATGCAGTGGATTAACATATCAGAATATGAAACTAACTTCTGGCAGGTAATATACTTCATGTTCCCACGGAAAGTTACTGATACCAGTTACCTGCTTCAAGACCCCATCTTTCTAACTCTTTCAAGAGCCAAAATGTATCCTAAAGAGTCAGCAAGTATTCCCCTGACAGGTAACTTGCATTCTTTAGAGCATTCAGCAGTGACTGAGGAATGTTTTACCTTCAATTCTAAACACATTCTAAATTGTAATCTGTTTTGGAGAGATCTGCATGTGATGAAAAAGGAGCTTGTTGCCCTTTTCAGTTTATAATGTCACCAGAAATTAAGTCTATTTAACAGATGTGGAATTCATCATTTCAGTCTTTAACTTGCATTAGAAAGTCACCTTTTTGATAACTGATCCCACTGTGTGTTGTATATACTGCAAGTACCGAAGGAATTCACATAAAAACAAGTCTTCCTCAAATGAAAAAGATGCACATTCCCTATATAATAACTGAAGAGCCAAGTCTCCTAACACCACATTTCTAAGCAATTTATCAAAGTAAAATCCTTGCAAGCAAAATAAAGTGAAATAAAAAGTAGTTCCACTTTAAAACCTGGATCTTCAGCAGACAACAGGAACTCTGTTTTATCTGACCCATCAAGGCTCACTAGAGTTTACAGTAATCAGCCACTTCTCACAACCCAACATCATTTCAAAGGCCCATTTAAACACTTTAAGAGAGACACCTAATAAATATTGAAGTCTTTTTCTCAATATTCACTTTTACTCTGAGAAATGCCACTGGAGTGTAACCCACGTTTTGTTGCAGAGAGAAGTCTTAAAACATCTCCCCATCACACTCTGACAAGGAGAACAACGGTTTCCCCAGATTCCTTAAAAATAAGGTGGACTCATGTTACACTTCTTGTAACTGAAAATATTCGAGTAACATATAAAGTGACCGTGATTAAACTAATGTTGGTGTTCCAAATCAATTTCCCTTACACAAATTTACAATACCAGAATTCATTTAAGGCAGGAGGAAGCAGGTCTGATATATGAAATAATATTTACCTAGAAGCTTCAGCCAAGGTAACTTATCCTTGAATTCCAACAGCAAATTAGTTCCTTTCTTCTACTCCACTACATTTCATTTACATATATACCAGGCCCTTTCATAATAATACCAATTCCCTCAGCATATTGAAATAAACATTAATTCAAAAGAAATACATCAACATGCAGATTCCCAGACTGAGCAGGGGGAAGAACAGAAATCAGTGCCCATCAATCCCCACAGATTACAAATTCCCGTACTGTGAAACTGTGATCAGTCATGAGCTTAAACTACAAACAAAAATGTTAGTTTCCTACCAAACCAGGAGGCAATTCAAAGAAGTGCTCACGATTTTTCCAGACAAATGAGAACACTTACCTGATTTTTCAGCATTCCCTTATTTTCTCCTTTCCTAATGAAAGGAAACACAAACAGGAAAAGGCTTGATCCAACACTCAGTTACATTATTTCTACAGTACTGTGTCACTGTCTAACAGCTTCAGTCATGTTGTTCATTTACTTAAAGTTAGGGACAAACTGAAGAGCTGGAATCTACAGGAAACAGGAGACTCAGTTTTAAACCTAAAGATGCATTCATGTTAAGGGAATTCCATGACAGTCATCAACATATCAAACTCATAATTATTTGTTTTTTTCTTAATTCTGTCCTGTGATCCATTTCTTTTTTACCAAAGTAGAAAGAAATCAGAGTAGGAGCTCTCACACTGAGGAAGCTGGGCAGCTCCACCAAAATCAGTGGAGCTACCTCCAGCTGACATAAACCTCCCTGGGACCACTGACATTAATCAAGAGCTCACCACTTGGAATCAATTCATTTACTCCTACTAAAATCAATGATGTTACTCAATTTACAGCCACTGAAGGAGTGGTGCCATGTTATTTATCAAACAAAACAGAAAAATGGGATATGCGTGTAGGAAAATGTTGGGAGGGGAGCCCCAGGACTTTATATAAACATGGAGAGCCTGAAGCTGGTGTAGCTGTTTGGAATACAAGGGGGGCTTAATTTTGACTGTCGTTTTCCCAGGCTCAAGGACTATTGAAATGATGAAGCTTTTCCCCTATATCTGTCTTCAAAGTCAAATCTTGCATAACATGAAGATACTACAGGCACTCGTGTCTCCTTCATACTAAACTAGGCGCACACTTGTGCAGGTAGGCAGCAGGAAGCTCAAAACCCTGAGGGCAGCTTAAAGCAGGAGTCTGGTGCTAATAGGGCTTTAACCCTCAGGAGGAGGAAATGCCCCTCTCTTGCCCTGCTCCCTTTTCCTTTATGACTGTAAGATTGCAAAAGGGTGTGAAAGCTACTCCTAAGATTTTGGCTGTACACTTCTATGCCCCTTCTAGTTATCCACCCCTCCTGTAAGGAGCTGTACAATATGTTAGTGACAGGGACTCTCACACCAGTCTACACCATGCATTAGAGCTTATGAACTACTTTACATAGCCCAGTAATTTAGAATAAAGAGGACACTAAGTGTTTGGCTGTACACAAAATAAACACAAGTACGATGCCTCCCCAGTCTCTCTCATTACTTGCCCCAGTTTTTCCCAGCTCAGTCTAAACCACACCATTCTTCCCATTGCCAGAGGTAACCACCTCTGCCTCACCCCTTTACTTTCTCCACAGTAGCAAAGGGAGGAAAGCATATGGCTGCTTTTAGGATTCATACTACTCCTTTCTCCCAATCCAGCTGGGCCATTCCGCACTTGCTGCCATGTCTGTTTCTATTTCTTTGTGCCTAGCACAGCAGTGTTGTTACAGTCCTGTAAGACATGGCTTTCCTTAAGGGTTTTCATTTTCTGATTTACAGGAGTGTTTTCAAACTCCCAGAAATTGTTGTAATAATTCGAATCCCTGGCATAAAAACAGTATTTCCTCAACAATTTATCTTTTAGATCTTTTGCTCTTTACTTCTCTGGAAACAGAAGAAAGGATGATGGGTATTCAGGTTATCTATTAGTTAATAATTGTCACTTTTCTTCTCAGACAAGTGTGAAAACATCTTTTCTCATTAAAATCAAGCTCTATTTGAATTATGTTTCCAGAATAACAGCACGGTTTGTATATACACATTACTGGAATAATGTCAAAGTTCAGTCATACACAGAATTTATTAGATTTTGGTTTATTCTTTCCCTTGAATTATTCATTGACTATCTATAATTTCCCAAAGAATAATTTCATAAAGCGCTGCAGCAATAAAATTCTCCATATATTAGCACACCAATGTGGATGGTATTTATGACGTACTCAAAGAAAAATCAGCCTGTTACATTAATCATGTGAAAATATTGAAAAATTGTATTTAATCATTCCTATTTGAAAATAAAACCTGCTAAGAGAGCTTTAAAATGTGCATGAAACCTGCAATTACATTTCATACAACATTTCCTGCAACAATCTACATAATTATTCAATACTTCCATGTTTGTCTGGTGTTCTATAATCTGTTATCTCATTTTCTCTGAATTGTGAGTTGTATTCAATCTTCTTTATTTAGCAAGTTTTGCTTAGAACATTCCAGATTCAATAAGGAGAAACAGCGAGACACATAAAGCCCCATCCTTTGATCACAAGAAGCTGAGCAGCAAAACATCTCCTTCCTGAAACCCAGTTCAGATTCTGAGGACCACCAGAACCCTAACACAGCTTTGAGTACCTTCTGTTCTTATCCCATCCTCTGCAACCAGAAGCCCCTTTGCAGCCTTTGTGCCACTTAGGGGTGGGAACAGTGTGTTCTTACAGACTACCACAGATTTTCTTCAGGACCATGTATGAGGATGACTGTCCATTCAGCCACTGGATGAAGGAATCAAAGGTGTTGCCTACTGGAGTTTACCACTAAAGTGTAGTGACATGAACTGTAAGCAGCATTAGTGAGACCAGAAAGTTCTTTTGAATGCCACTCAGTTAGAAAACAATTTTTTCCCTATATTTGACTTCTGAGAGCACTGAACCACAAGTATCTCCACTTGAGCTGTCAATTAAACTGCAGGCATTGCTACACTCTGCCTGTCCAAAATCAAGAGAAGTCTGAAGACACAACCTGCTCTTCAGTGGGCCAAAAAGCCAGAGTTCTGCCCAGTACTTCCTGCAGACTCAGAAGCACTGTAAGCCAAATCATGCTAACACCTTCCAGATGTCTGAAAAGCTAAACAGGGTTTACCAATACTCCTAGTTTGTGGATTATGAACTAAAATGGAAAATGAATGAGGATGATTCCTGACGAATCAGAATATAGAGCCACAGAGGTTTAACTCTGTCGCACCAAAGTAAAGTTCCATAAAGTCAGTTCTTGGAAAGCTGCAATCTGCAAATAAACAAACATGTACTAAATTAGAAAAGAAATTGTTGAAAATACAATAATGCCCTTAGGAACTCTAACAAGCCAAGTGTTTGTCTATAGAATATATAAATATAAAGACATATAAATGAAATGAAATGCTTTTTCCAGAATGTCAGGTCTCCTGCAAAGAAAGCAAAGAATGAACAATTGGTATAATACTGACAAGCTCAGCTTATAGTTTTGACCATTAATAACTTATTTCAAAAAGCTCAGACTCCTGTACATGAGCCACCCTGTAGTGTTTCAGCTGATTCTAATTCTCTTTGTGCAGAAACCTTTTAGCTAATCATTTTCATCTCTGTGTGTCAATAAATCTTGCATCTCTGGGGCAATGACTTTTACTCAGCAAATGTTAAGCAGAAATAAAACCACCCTGAACAGTCTAAGCATGAGAATTTCAATAAGAATTTAGCAATATATTGATCCACTTCTTCCCTTTCTGACTTTTCATTACTGTCACTTTCACCTCCTGAATTCAATAAGATAAAAAGCTAAAATAATATGTGACTTACAGACTTTAGCCAGCCCTACTAAAATGATTTTTTAATTCTTTAATTCCACAAGAGCAAACTTAAAGAAATGTTTTATAATACTGAAGGCACTAGAAAATGGTCAATAATCTATTCTTAAAGGGAAGAGTTGGCAGTCACAGACTAAAGTGAATGACCTCTTCTATAAATACAGACAGAATACACAAAAGACATTAAAAGATTAAGATATGAAATAGTAGGAAAACAAAATCTGCAATGAAAAACCATGTTTCCACAGGTTTATGAATGTAACATATTACATCCCTACATCTCCTCTTCCTTGGAAGCCAGCTGACAAAGTATTTACATCTTACACTGTTGCTTAAATAAAGTAAAATTAAGTTAACTCTTGCGTAATTATTTATAAGCATCTACCACCTAAAAGCCACTTGGATATGCCAAATCACACTTCCTGCACACCAGTAGAACAAATGGTATTTCCATTTTCCTAAAATTTATCAATGAGAATTAGAAGATAACCAATAGTCACCAAAAAAATATTGAAAACTCATCTTAGCATTAAAAACAGTCACTGAGAAACTTCTCACTAATCTTATTTTCAAAGCTTGAGTTCTAGCACAAGCAGATGGTCGAGATACTCTGACTCTTCCATCCTAACGTGTATGTACGATAAACAGTGCTGAGCATCAATTCTTCCTTAAGTTCACAAGGTAGATAATTTTATATTTCTATGATCATCATGACAACTGCTGAATGTCCATCAATATTGCATAGACATTTATTCTTACAGCACCCTGTGAGAGGCTGAGACACATATCAGTGAATGAATGTGCCAACATGTTGGGGAAAATCACCATGCATGCAGTACTGTGCTCTCATTCAAACGTATTGAGTACAGGTGGATTAATGCACAGCTGAATTCACAGTGACTGCCAGAGGAAATACAGTAGTTACTGTATAGTGTCACAGAATGAGCTGTTAAAGAATTTTAAATGTTTACTGATAAAAATGTCATAGAAAATAATGTGAATCATTGCCTTAGCAACAAAAAACTCATACAAGTCAGCACATCCATCTTCTTTTTTCTTCTTGTTTCTATTTCTCACCATTATAATAACCCACATTATCCCATCACATAGGAAGCAGTCAAGAATTATTTTCTTTAAAAATAAGACCATATACAAACCTTTTACTGTATGTAAGCACAAGAAGTCTGATCCAGATAAACAGAAGTTCAAGACTACAAGATCAAGAATCTTTTTTAACCAGTGGAACCCATAATCTAAGCAAAGAGGTCTCTTTTACCACCTATTTTTGGCCTATAACTACCTCTCTCTGGTTTATAATCAAATTTCTTCTGTCAAAACTGTTATTCAAACTGTACAAGCCTCAAACAGAAAAAAGGCCAACAAAATAAAACCTACTGAAGTCCATGCTATATATTTCTTTAATATGTAGCACAGCCAACCCAATATTACATACATAATTGTATCTGGTCTGCTGGCCAACTCACTGCTTGTGGTTCCTAAGATGCAGTCTCACAGACTGATGTGGGTCTTTTCAAAGCACTAAATCAGTTTGTTGTCATTGTGAAAAGGAAGTGCACAGACAACAGCTGGTTCATAGAGCCACACAGATGGGCCACTCTGATGCTGATGCAACTGCTGGTTCTAGAAACATTAGTGCAATTGGACTGGTTGAGTTGATCTGAAGATCTGTCCCAAGGCAGATGCTATCGATTTCAGTGCAGTGACATGGACTGCCATTAGCTGGAATCTCATCACAAAAATCCATGCACTGATTAGTATAAATAAGTTTCAGAGTCTTTATTTGGCTGAAAATGTATTCAAACTCTAAAGAGTTGGAGAACACACGTGGTATCCTCCTGTTGCTCATCCTTCCTTCATCCTCTTAAGTCATCTGCTCCTGCCATATCTATTTGTGTGTGCAAACACAGACTGTGATTTCTTACCTTCTTTCAGAATCTCCTGAATCAATTAAATGGAAAACAATTAACAAAGCTTTCTGTAAGTCATTAACAGCTACATTAACACTTCTCTAGAGGCCTTTAGAGTATCCAGTCTGTGTTTGCTCTCAGCTGAGTGAAATGCAAATCATTAGTACTTATTTCTGCTTGCTCCTTCACAGTTATTCAAACCACAAGGGCTTCAAGGACATCCACTTTACTGAAGAACTGCACAGGACAATGGATCAGAGAAACACCACTGGGCAGCAGTTTTCAGCAGGTTTTGCAGGCACAAAGCTGGCCCCAAACTGATAAACTGTAAATCCAGTGAAACTGTAACAGGAACAGTGTGACTGACTGTTCTCTGTCAATGATGCCGCAGCACAACTTCCCAAACAGATCTGAGTTCTGGGACAAGGTCTATTTTGTTTCCCTTTTAAAGCAGACGTACCAGAGTGGGATCATGATGCAGGTGTTACACTCCTGCATATTCCTCCTGCAAACACTGAAAAAAAAAAATGGTAATGGAAATAAATCAATTTGACCATCAAATGGAGTCTACACTTCAAAATGTGGAAAGCGAGTCCAAGGTAAAAGGACTATTTGCAACCATGTTACCAAACCTTAGAAGTAAAATTAACAGTATTCATAATACTCTGTGTATTTTGTGACAATGTCATTACTTTGTTTCCCAAAGGACAGAGGACATACCTGAAGGTGTCCAGAATGCACCATAATAAAGTCTTACATAGCAAAGCAGCCATTGGAAAAATTATGTTGTGCTATTATAGGCAATTTTTGCCATCAGTGTGCCAGTTTAAACAAAGCTGCATTCAGGACTTGCTTTTGAAAGTGCATTGCTTCCTATCCTGAGCTGAAAACAAACCACGGCATTCAGAACTTCCTACAGACTGAAAATTACAAATTTGTATCAGCTCCATTCTGCATAAAAACACCAATTCAGTACTGACCCAGATCTCCCACACTTATTCCTACATAAACTTCAGTAACAAAAACAAGGTTTGTATGCTACAGCCAACCCAAATGTTAACAAACCAACTCTGTAAGTTGGCCTCATCCTCCCCAAGCATCACTTTCATCATGCCATGAGTGTTTATCATGTTTGTCCTAGCAGAATGTAACACTTCAACAGAATGCATACCAACAAGGACGTCATGTACATATTCAGGAAGGTTCCCTGGGGCACATTTTCTGCAGCACTTCATGCAAACCTGTATTCTAATTCATTGATTTAGGTAGATACCTGCCTAGAAAACACCAGTAATGGTTTTACTTATTCAAGATAGAAATGAAAAAATAGATTTAGAGTTGCTTTGTGTTTAAATACCAACATGAGTGTATTTTCTATCTTGTCTGATATAAGATTTCAGCCTTGGTTTTCATAATACTTTGTTCTGGAAGTGTCAGAAGAAAGAAAGAGATTCCAGTATCCCAATAATTTGTTATTACACGGGTGATATGGTGCCCATAAAACTTCATGTAACCATGTGATAACACTGAATGTGTCTGTCTCAAATAAAAGCTGAACTCATCACAGAGTTCTGAGTGCCTCAAATATTTTTCAAGGTCATACCATAAATTCATAAACTTTACCATAATGAATGTCCCAATAATGTGAAGTTTGAGGCAGAGTCTTTCACAGATCTCTCCCATAGCATCCTCATATAATAAAAGGAAATTGTGTAATTAGTGGTGACAATGGACTTCTTCAAAAGGTAATATTAGCTCTGGTTTCAGCGAGAGCCTGCCCTTTATTAGCTGCAGTTCAGATGCATGAGCTACAAAGTGTGCTTGTTCACTCCCTGTGTGTGTCCCTTCTAAGATTAGGAACAGGAACAATCTAATTAGAAATAATCCTGCCAAGAACAAATATCAAAGAAGAAGAGCTAGAAGAAAAAGCTGCCAGATGAGCCCATTAACTATGATGTGAACTGTGGTCTTACCTCAAGCAAAGGATGCTGCATTAGTCCATTTCACAACTATTTGTTGATTGTATCTTTTAAAAATATTGTGCTATTTCCTAAACATAAACCTGCTGATTGTTAAAAATACAGGCTACAGTTTCAACGCACACAATATATTTAACACTGAGTAAATGGAACTGCAGAGAAGAAACAAGCCTTGGTTTATGTAATGTTGTTACTTAATCTCTAAGTCTCATAATGGGAAATAAAGTGCCTTTTATGAGGTTGTAGTCCCTCCACTTATTTGGTAATAATGACTGACCAGGCAATGTTTGAAAGTAAAGCCAAGTTTTAAGTGAGCCAAAATCAGAGCTCTTTGGAGATTACCACTGGAGATCAAAGTCAGCAACAAATGCCCAGAGCCGAGCAGAGAATGTCAGGGTTGTTTCCTTAGTTCTGAGTTTTACATGGTTCCTTGTTAATTAAGATTCGACAGACCCGTTAGCTGTGATCTTTGGTGTATTCCACACCTGAATAATATTTCCTGACATTTAAGTCAAGCTATAACTGAGTGTCTTGATGACAGCAATGAACTGTATACTCAGATCTATATTAAAATAAAGATTCCTAGGTTGCGTTTCATAAGTTTCTTTGCCAATGCAGAGGTAGCAGCAGACTGAGCTTTTTTAAATATATTCCCATGCCTTGTTAAAACATGTCAAAATTCAAATTAAAATTGAATGCATCAGGGTAAACAGAAAATGTAGAACCTTGTAACATCTGTATTTTATTTCCTATATTATAACACAGTGTTTCTGCAAGTAGTACAAAATAAATTTCGCTCTATTTAATACTGAAAGGTCTGGGAATTGTGAGAGACAAAAATTCAGTCCAGCAAAAGCTGCTACTTCTATAAAGGCATAGTTCCTGTTTCCTATTATCATAATAGAACAAACCCCATAACATCAGGTTATTTCTTTGTCCTTTATAATTCAGCGTATCGATCAGAAACACCTCAGAGAAACAGGTTTATGTGAGATTCTCAGGTGGCTGGTACTAAAACAGCAGATAAATGACAGGTAGGAGAAATGTGTCCAAAAGCCACAATCATATTGCTGTATTAATTTGCCCAACAAAATATAACCCATTCAACTCAGGAATAACAGCTTACTCAGCAAATGTGTCAGGCTACCTGCCAGCTGCTGAGTCACAGCACAGTGTTGGTGCCACATGTTCCTCACAGCAGCTGAATTCTCATCAAACTCTGCAGTATAGCAGGAAACTACCACAGTCAAAGGAGAAAGACAAGTGTGTGTGTGTAGACAGTGACATGAAAATCAGACACGTCATTAACAGGCCTGACCAGCTAAGCAGAATGAGAACCGTAAAAATTAGAACACAGCATTTCTGCAGGTGCCTCATTTTTTGTGTTATCAAGGGTCAAATTCTGTCCATTCCATTCCTAAGTAAAACCACTCAAATCAGCAAAACGAAGCATATGCTACAGTTAAGAATATTGTTAAGTGCCACCTATGGAATGCTGCTTGCTCAAACTGAAGCAAATACAGAAGCGGTGCTTGCCAGCTTGCATGATTCACGAAGATTAGATTTATGTATTGATGGTCTCCTAACAACAGAGAAGAAAAATGTAAAATCCCAACTAATTAATATTTGACATGTTTTTAAAAGAATACATACAGGAAAATTCAAAAGGTTTCTAATTTGTGAGAGGGAGAGGCTTACTAAAAATCAAAAGGATTGCACTTAGATTTTTGATTTCATAACAAATCTAGCTCTGCAACTGAAGTGCTTTGTAATTTCTCATGGAGAGAAAAAGCTCCTCTTCCAATTACATGTTCTCAGCCTTGCACTGACTCTGCCACTCATTTGACCCTCAGTGAGTTGATTCAGCTCTCAAAACCAGAAGGAAAATACTGAGGGCTTTTTTCAGGGGTTACTTTTCTCCTCACTCAGCCAGATGAATCCACTTATGGTAGTGTCAGATGAGCAGCTGAGACAACAGAGGGAAAATGAAGGGAGGAGCACACTGGCTCAAGCTTAATACAGGATTTAATACAAAACATGTACCACAGAAACCTATGCAGGAAAATATCTGAGGATTTTTCATTTCTTACGATTTGTTATCAGCCCTAATTTCATCTCTGCTTCCTATGGTCCCTAATAGCAGTACATGTTGTAGTTGATCACATTCCACTTTTCCACTACTAGTACCTAAAGTGCTCCACATCCAGCCTTGGCAATAAAGGTTTTCTGGAATGTTGAATAAAAGTAACAGTAAGCCTCACAGTTACGATCATGAAGAAGGTTCTTATCCCGAGGAGCCTTCCCAAAGCAAGTTCTTACCAGCCTTCTGTAGCTTCTGTCCTGTTCATGAGTATAAATTAATGTTACTTAAAGAGATTGAGATGTCCTATTCATTATTCACTGCAGAGATTGAAACTTTGACTAGCAAGATCTAAAATCCCTTGGTCACATTATGTTTATTTGTTTCCTCCTCTAATAGCAGGCATCATATCTTAAGTTAATGCCAGCAAAGTTCATCTTCAGGAAGCAATATAAATTTTAGCTAAGAAAACAATGTGACCATAACACCATCAACTGCTCACTTAGGGAACACAAAGGAGTAAGACAAACACAAAAAGCAGAACTGTGATCAGTATTCTGAGGCACAAAGTTCAGATCTACCTCCAGTCTATCACAAGACTAGATTTAATAAATGTCAGAGACGTTTTAGCCACAAAGCAGGTATTTTCCTTTGGACTCTCTGCTCTGTGCATCTCAGAGCTGCTCTAGAAGTTAAACTTTATGTAATGAGCAAAATCAGAATTCAAACAGCTCACTGCTCTGATCCTGATCTAAAATAGCATTTAAAAAGAAGTGGGAAATTAGAAAGTGCTACAGAGTGTCAGTCAAATGAAGAGAGATCTGTATCAGAAATTAGTTTTTAAAATAGTTAACTTGCCACCTAGATCCACAGTTCCATTACTTTTTGTATCTGCACTAAACAGAGACTAGCCTGAAAGAAAGCTAAAGGTTTTATGCTAAAATTGTGGCAATGCCTGTATTAGCAATCAAACTGGATTTTCTTCAATTGGGTTTTATAAAATACATGCACAATGGTGAGAGAACGATGAATCAGTCATATAAGGAAAAACTTTCCTCTGTTATCATACAGTCCTAGTACTCTACAGCTGCACCATCAGAAAGTTGAAATATGTTCAAATTACTCTCTCACATCCAGTCTGTTCAGGGCAAAATGCTGCTGTCTTTCTTTTCTTTCCTCCTTCTTATTTTGGGATCCAGCATACCCACATCATTTCTCAAGCACATATGGGTTATGCAGTTCAGCCTTTACAAATAACTAAGGTGCTTTACTTTCAAAGATGTGTCAGGAGCTGAAGTTAGAAGCCTCTGGCAAATTGAGTTGGTTTTATTAATGAAAATTTATAGCTTCCATTGTGAAACATTTTCTCTATGACCAGACATAAGAGTAGCCTTAACTGGAAGCACTCCAATTCAGCAGCAGCACTTTAAAATCATTTAAAAAAAACAGTAGCATTAAATATATATCTACGTACCCAAACCACATTAGCTCTGATTGTGCCAGGCATGATATATGCATTCAGTAATACAATAAGAAAGCCCCATTCCAAACAGCCTGCAGTCTGAGCAGACAAAATGAAGGAAGATAGTGGCTATGCTGTAGAAAGCAAGCTAAGGCAAAGTTCTGAATCATAAACAATATGAGCATTAGGATATAAATAAATTACCACAGATCTGGGAACAGAACAAAGATCTTTTAAGTCCTTCTTCCATGTCTTAGCCATAAGGCTTCTTCAGCTGAGTAAAATGCAGCACGACTTAGTATTGAACCATGAAGTTTATTAATCAAGTAGTATTTGTAATATTTTCTCCAAAACCAAACCCAGCTAGTTTTCTGACTCCATGCAACTCTTTAATGACTTTTCAATTTACAGCTAAAATGCAACCAACTGTGACTGCATTTATATCCCATTTACTCATCTTCTTCAACAGCATGTGCAGATTTTCTCCTTTACCCAAAACTACTTGTGTGTTTTTC